TGCGTGTCCAAATAATCATAGTGCAACTGTGTATCTCACATTTCGTGTTACAGTATCAACAAGAATTTAAAAATTGAACATTTTATTAAACGAAATTACTAGTAATCACCCCTTTCCCGGTTTCCCTATAATTACTGTAATACTCTGTATATTCGTGTGAAAGTTTTAATTCGAATGGCGTATCAGAGCGCGTGTCGAAAAGTTCGTTTATCGCGATTAGTAGGAGCATTAATTAATTACTGTTTCAGCGTAATGTGGAAACGAATGCAGGATTATCAAAGTTACGATCTTACTTGTGAATTTTAATGAGTAATGAATAATGCATAGCGAACAGCAGTATATGTATGTATTCTGGTTATCATTCGAAATTCATCGTCAGTTTAAATGTGATAATTAGAGATAAGTTTTCGAATACTCGTCTGGTTGGTTTTTGAGGTACACGGTATACAGCGTTTAATGTTATTCGCAGTTAACAAGCATATCTTAGATGCGTTTCACGGTGTAATTAAGCAGCGCGATATACACTACATAAATTACTCCCTTTAGTACGTTAAATTGCCAGGCAGACACGCAAATTTTATATTAGTCGTACCGGGATCCTTAATTAATTAATATTAATTCCAAATTTTATCCTTCATTTTAAATTCCGTTTGTTCATCCACTCCGCGAGCTTGAGTACGTTTATTGTTACGGGTTACACTTTATAGGTTGTAATTCATATTTGAAAGTGCTCATTACGTTCTGCGAAATGAAGTAATAAGGGATCTCGTTTCTCATGACGCTGGCAGTAACTACTACCATATAACTGAAATTACAACTTTTAATTTGTAGACAGCTATATACTTTACATCTTCGCAGAAATACTTCGGTTTTACAATTAAAATTTTCACGTACGATGTTTCATGTATTTTTAGCGATGTGTTACGACTATTACGTATTAAACTGTTCAATGACTTCTAATTCCTATGTGTAATTTCTACATACATAGTGTTTCTGTTTCGAAAGCACTTTAATAATTAATCTTGGGCAAATTATATACATGAACATTAATTTTAAATGAATAGTAAAATAACAAAATTGAATTATTTAATTTCTTCTTGATGAATAAGATTTGAAGAAGTATTTTTCTAAAATATAATTTAGTAATAAACTATTATCAAATTCACTGTGTAATAATAATTTTACAACTTAATTTATTTTTAATTCATGCATCAACATACGTTTAGTTTAACGAAGTGTATGTTGTATCTACATTTTTAATCGAGACGAAACAGTTCCTACCCTATCATTTTCGTAACAAGTGTTTCGCCCTTAGATACCTCTGCGATATACACTGACAGATAAATAGTAGCTGCGACCATTTGTCTCTCTCCTATGCAATCAGCAAAGCGTTAATGACCGCGCATAAAATTAAACAAGGCAGCCCAGGCACGCACACGACGCGTGTATGATCATTCTTCAACGCCCATATGCACGATATAACTTAGGAACCCTACAATTAGAGCCTGAACATCGATGCCCCTGACCGTCCGCCATATTTGATATCATTAAGTTGTACTTTCGATTAATTAGTGAGAGGACTATATGAAACAAAAGTGAAACGTTTACAAAAAAAGGGATGGCTGTCTATAATTATAGTAATGGGACTTACTCTTTCTATGTAATAATAAATATTTTATAACAGAATGACGTTACGTATAATTATATAAACCGGATGAAATAATCGTAATACTACAGATTTCAAGTCTTTATGATTATAATAATTTACGTAAAACCATAGTAAGCGCGCCACAAGGGAAATTTCGAAGTTACAATATAAACCACATAAAAGAGTAACTATAGAGGGGAGTACTTCATCGAATACTTTAAATGAACTTATATTTCATAACAACTAGAGTATGACTATGAAGTCTGTAGTGTATAACTGGACTGTCCAACGCTGTCTGAAATTGCATACGACGCTAGGTGAAACATGTTACACTCTTCCGATATGACATAAATAAGTAACGCGATACAGGAGGAACTAGTGTCCCTGTAATTCGCGACACAGAGTAAAACTGACAGGCCATCGTTTGCTATGACGGAACCACTGTTTTTGTCCAACATGTTGCCTGGATACTAATGCATTCAGATACTCGACGTACGACTATAAGTTAACTCCACCGTGCCGTGGAAACGCAACTTACGTTTGCACGATAACCGGAAACGAGGCATCCATCAATCTCGTTGGATTGCTGGATGCTATCATTGACAGCCGAGAAGAGTGCTTCTGAGTGGAACGCAAAAAATAATTTTGCCCATATGCACAAACGCACGAAAGATGCATCGCTTCTGATTACAATTGTTGGGAATTCCAACACTTATTAGCGGACCCCTTATTTACTTAATATTAGTTAAATTACTTGATTGGCAATTGAACAAGTACCTTAGGGTACAAAGCAAATTGCCGTACTCTCAAGTCGTTGAGCACCGTACTTTGGGACCATACCCACCCCTGTACCACCCTCAGTGGGTGGGATTTCGAATATCTGAGGACTGGCCCACGAGGGATGGGCAGGGGTTTGATTGGTACACAAGGTTTCCACCTCCTTTTGAATATGTATAAAATCGCGGGTCATTAGACTTTCCAAGTTAGAATAACACAAGAACTCCATAAGAACACCAGTAAGAACATTGAAATTTAAACTGTTAACACATGTACATATTTGTAAATAAATTCAAGTGTTGTAAATAGTATTGAATCTTCTATTTACTAAATAAAACGGCTCCACGAACATAGTGAGAGCCTATAGCAATAATGCGTAAAAGCATGTTTAAAATCATGAGTCTGGTACTATAAAAATTGTGTAAAATGTACGCAGGGCATCTTTCATGATAATAATTCGTAATACGGAAATAATTCTTCAAGTGCAAGGTGCATCTGTGAGAACGCAGATGGCGAGATAGGAGGAAAGACTTCACGTATGAAATTGAGAAAACGAGAAATCCGAGTGAATTCAGTGAAATAAAAAGACTGTGCAGTTAACGTACTGTGAAATAAAAGTCCCTTGTGCAATAAAAGAATTCCTGTCTATTTGTTTTTAACGTGAACTCCCTCTCCATTATTATTATAACTGTATCAATCGTCTACAAATATCAAACTATTATGGTAAATCCACTTTCACAAATAAAATAAAGATTCCAACACTAACTTTGATATTTTATTTAATATCGGTGCATGTAAATGCGCATAGAATAATATAAATTCGGATTTATAAAACTAGTTTTACTAATTAAGATTGCAAAAAGGAACTTGTAACTATATCATAAAGGTTCCATTCTAATTTTTCAGAGAAAATAACTTTGTTTTTATCCTACGCATGAGAGTAATAAAATAAATAGAAATCTTGTGTTGGTGTATGAGGTTTCTTTTTGATGAATTTAATTAAAAAATCTCATTCGTCAACACGAAATCTCTGTTTACTTTGTTACCACCATGTACGAACTAAAAAAAAAAAAAAAATATTTACCTCGAATAATTATAATTTTATTTTCAAGAGCGGTCGTAATTACTGAGTTTAATACAGGTTTTTATTCGAAAATATAAAATGGAACATGTAATATAATTATATCTATGAAAAGAGGTTACGAAGAAGTACTTTTTAATCAATTTGCAAAGTAGGAAATCTAGATTTTAGGGGCCTTGTGGTTGGACTAACTTTAAAATCATGCATCTTTCGATAATTATTATATAACAAATTTACTAGCCCTTATTTATACTCCCTGGTGTATGTTTCCATTTACTAATTGGGTACAGTCAGTTTGTTTCGAAAGCCATGTAATTTCATGCTTTACTTCTCGCAAGTTTCAAAGCTTTGAGTTTACGAACTGTGTTCCTTTGTTCATTTAATGAATTCAGTTCTACTTTACCGTAACATTTGTAACTCGCACAAATTTTTTATTAGCGGAACCTGGCCAACGCAGATCAGAACAGTTCTTTTTACCTTATCGTTAAAAAGATTAAACCATTTTACACGCACTCTCTAGATATTAACTATTTTAATCAACACGTGTCACGGTATAGAAATCATATCTTGACAGTTGCTACCCTACACACGTGCGCGACTGAATATTTAATCTAAATAACGTTCATTAACGACGTTATAATGTGAACTGAAAACATTTAAGTACACATTCAGTTTACTCGATACTAGTAAACATTCGCTAGTAAAGCCTCTTTCAGACGACCACTCGCGCGATGCAGCTTCTGTGTTCGAAAACTCAAAGGGATTTCCCTTCACGCGGGCTCAACTGGCTTTCGGAAACTCGTAGGGCAGAATTTCCTTCGAAATTCGGGACTGCGTTTAGGCGAGCACGCGTGAATCCAGATCACAACACGCAGTATACGACGCAACGCTGCGAATTTCATACAGTTGTTAAGTGGTACACAGATTCTCACACTCTTGCACACACCGAAACACAATTATACAGCGGCACTCGTGTAAAATTGAACCACTAAATACCACATCAAAATATAGATATTCTTAATACTTTTGTAAAGCAGAAATTTGATTAAAAATCACGAATAAGATTTCTCGTTCAGAATTAACATACGGGATATGATTGATAAACTAAAAGTGACCCAAATACAGAGAATGAAAAAAAATATTGAAACAAACGAACGCCATAATAGCGTGCCTCGCGGAAATTGATCAAAATTGCAGAACACGCTTCCCACGTAGCCCGCGGTGAACGATCCCAGAGATAAGAGTCCTTTTGTGAAAACAATCTCCGTAAAAATCGGTGAAAATTGCAAACTTTCTGGATCTCCATTTTTTAGACAATTTGGAGAACAATTACAATGGATGACTCAACCTCCCCTATCTCCTATTGCCACAGAGACTGCATAATATTTCAATTTGAACAAGACCCCGATAACGGGGGAGAAAAGAGATTAATTTCAATAATTACCACTTTCACACCAAGGTAACAATTTATTCAGGCGACAATTTACCCCTTACCTGGATGTACGGCGTGGCAGTGGTTGAGGAGCGGCAGCCAACAGAGCAGTAGCACCGCTCTCTGCATCTGAAACAAAAACCACAAGCATTTTTCATAAACGTCCCGTCTAATTACTATTCCGCAGCGCCGACCTTCTTCTAATATAATTATACGCTGATTAAAATCCACGACAGGGGCGGTCCTACGTCGGGAGGAGGGCGCCCGCGATTCGCAATGAAATCGCGGTAGCACTAATTACGGCGAGGAGCGAGCGATTGCGCGCGTGCATAAATATCCGCGAGGATATACGTCACGAGCGTGTGTGCGTTCATCTGCTATCCGTTTCGAGGAAAGCAAACGAACCCTCTCGGGCATGGGCTCCTCCGCGCGGCACGCACGAACGATCTGGATATACAGAGGCAGCCGTGCGAGCGCCGTTGTACCGAATTTTCGACCGGGCAGACTTTTCGTTGCGAAACACGCGGAAAAGAGCCACGCCCGGGATCCTTTTACGGAATGGAAAACGAGCGGGACGGGCGATTTGTCAAATTGATTCTTCCGGTGAGCGCGTGGAATTTTAAATTACCCGGAACGTACCGTAACTGAGTCTCGAGGGTGGAGGAAGTGGAGGAGGAGGGCCGAGCTATTACGAATTTACTCCGGTTTTCAATGAGCAATATTCATCTGTACTTAGTATTTAATTACCCCTGAGAAACGAGTAATTTTACCATGGAAATAAACTGACGAATTGCATAAAATCATAACAATTATCTCCTGTGTGTTGTATACACTTAAAAAAGTGGCTTTAATGCCACGACGTGTAATATAGACAATTTAATAGAAATTTAAACTCATTTTCAATTAAGTAAACAATTTATAATCCCGTATTCGTCGCATACAAGTTGTATAAGCAATAGGAATGGCTGTAACTTCTTTGGGTGCATAGCGTCAAAATAAGTATCAAAATAAATATAGAAGACAGCATATTTTATAGTAGTTGATATAGACATCGGATTGAAGATGAAATGCCCTTTAAAACGAGTCATACGTCAAGATATGACGATTTTTGTTTCAAGTCGATGCGATGGCTAGTTCCGGATCGAAGCGTTTGTTTACGTTTCATTGTCACGTCGCGAGTTCATTGACCGCGCGCGCGTAAATAGTAAACAATGCGTAGTAAATTCTTGGTAATACCACGACTTCCTAGTCACGTGACTGTCTCAACTCACGCGCGAGAGAGAGACCCGACGCGACGCGTCAGATGGAGACAGAGATAGTCCAAATTAAAAAATTACCTGTTTACATAAATTGCAATATCTCCAAAAAAAGAAAGTCGGATTTCCAAAAACCAAAAATCATTTCAAAGAGGAAGCCTTGTCGCTTCTAATAATGGCTTAATTATGAATAAAACACTGGTAGTTTCCGAACTGCACGCGTTTAAAGTTTTAGTTCTTTTAATACGCGTTTCTGGATTGTTTATTAAATTATTACAACCAGCAAATAAATTATTCGGATAATTTAATTCGTAATAATTATAATAAATGTCTTCGATGTTACTTGCAATGATTATTTCGTGAAATTTCGATTGCTTCGATAATCTGTTAGCCTCTATTCAACAAAACTAACACGATTTTAATTAATCTGGTTAAAGGAACTGTTGAAATTTGGATATACGCTCAATATGAATGTTAATATTTTTTTTCACATCTAATACTATATCACATATCTTTTTGATTCAAAAGAAAAATTAATTTAAAAATGATAGAAATATGTACATTCCACTTTTCTTTCAATTTTTCCAAAATTACTGACCCGCCATGTATGATGTCGATTTTTATTTAAATTTTGCAATAACGTGTTAAACGTATCGTTTACGCAGGATACTAAATTGCTCATTATTCAAGAATTTTGGATAATGAACGTGCCACGATATATTCGAAAAATGTATTTTAAACGGACGGAAGAGAATTTTAATCCGTGCAAATAGCTGGCCGTAAATATGAATTAAGCAAATGACGAAGCTTCATTAAAATTGCATCATCGATTGGTTTCGAATGTCGAGCGACCTCGCGTGGTTAAATCCACTTAAAGCTACCCCGAGAGGAGAAACGTGGATCTATCCACCTGATATTTCGAAGAAGATTATTGAAGAAGGATCTGCATCCTCTGCCTTTATGCGAATACCATAATCCAAATAGTTCTACTCTCTATACACGATGGAATGTGCTTCTTTTTGCGAATACGTATCAAAGAAGTATTTCCAAGCCGAGACTGCACGGGTACGATATTATATCACGACGAATAGCAAACGAGAGAGAAATAGAGAAATGGGATATATTTAAGCTCGATCTATGTCGCTCAAAGCTGTAACAAAGTCGAATTTGCATCGAGACACCGAGGAGTTATGAAATTCTGCCTACGATCATCGGTTCGCTTTGAAGAAAAGAACTGTTGACATTGTCGAACAATGGAAAATCGTTTTGAAAATATTTCGCCTACGTTGAAACCAAATTTACGCACGTTGTTTACGAAAAAATATAATATAGCAATGTTTTTTGTTTCGTTCTAAGGAATTCAAAGTTGTATTAAATTATAAAAGTTAGAGCAAATTTTTGAAAAGACAACATGATAAAAATATAACAATTTACGAAATTATTTTGTATCCCTTTTCTGTAACCATTTAACTTGTGTCTAAAACAGTTTTTAGTGTCATCAATAGTTTCGAAGATATTCAACTGGGTCGATTCAAATAGGGCACCCTGTACTACTTTTTTCTTTTTATTCCATTTGCATAAGTCCCATTTTACTTGCTAATAGTCAACCGGTCAGTGCTCATTATACGGAAGTTTATCTTCGAGCCATAGAATTTTTTTATGAAATTTCTCGTCGAGATCAATTTCTCGTAGAATTTTATTGAAAACTAGACCATTTGTGTTATGAATTAAATTTAACGGATTATATAGTAAGACACGCAGAACCTTCCTTCTTTTCGGATGATAAATTAATGGTATCTGAGAAATTGGATCTTGAATGAAACCTCTTTTGTCCAGATAAGCGAATGCCTTGAGCTGCGTAAATCCCGACTTCCTAGTTCTCTCCAGATACTCACTAAATTGCCAAGCAACTCTAGAGACGAAACTATTGTGAGAAGCTCTCAACGCTTTGTACAAACGATTCTTAATTATCTTGAGTATTGGAATATTAATTCTAGAACGGTTAACTTTGTCGTAGACCTTTTTAATCCTTATCATTATACGATATTAAATGTAAATCATACATATTCAACACTTGTGCGTAAAGCACAATGAATTGAACAAATAACTTTAGCTAACCATTTTCGCAAATTAAATAGCCCATACTTTTCACTTGAAAATAAAGAACAATTGAACAACATTTAATTTGAATTGGACACAAAATAATAGTAATTATAGAGAAAGCACAAACGCACAGACTCTGACATAAAAGTAAACCAAACCATTCCGATAAAAGTCATTCAACCAGCCAGAAAAATTCCAAAATAATTAGAATCTCGAAGTGTACTAAAAGCAGTAAAACTGTAGAATCCATTTTCTAGTAATTATACCATATACGAACAATGTTGTTTCGAGGAACGCGAAAGTTGCGTTTCCGAATGGAACAAAAGAATTCTAGACGAGTACGCGAAACGAGACACTTGTTAAACACATTTGCACCTGCATCGAATGGAACGAACAGAATTACCGGTATTATTACCGTGCGCGAGAAACTATATTATTCGACAACCACTCGAACAATAATAAACTTTTTTTTTTTACTGAGCTCCCGCTCGTTTAAAATTTTATTACCGGCTCACGCGCGTTGTCCCTGCGTTCGTTCAATAAGGGTATAATGCGCTCGTTAATTTCATTCGTAATGGTGCTTCAACGGCAAGCAACGGTGAAACTCACTTTTTCCCCCGCATACAAACGGCGTACATCACAACGGTAATATCCAGCAACGACTATTTAAAGTTCATGCGTTGTCCTGCAAATAAATTTCTCGCGACAAAGGTTCAGCCCTAAAGTGGACAATCGCTGGAAATTTTCTCAATGAGTAATGCCACGATAAAAATACTCAAATATTTAATAAGTTTCCTTAACACACTGGCTGTGGGATGATTTTTCATTTTTTAATAGTTTTTCAATCCCATCGTTTAGATGATACAACGGCTTAGAAGTTTGATACGAAGTAATATTTTTTACGATCGATTTACAGTCGCGTTATTTATGTTGGAGAACGCCATAAAGACTCCACGTACAGTCACCTGACAAGTAATAACTTTTTCGATGGCATCGTTTAGATGGGACAATGGCTTAAAAGTTCGATGTGCAGTTACCTGTCAAAAGGTGATTTCTTTCGATCGATTCACAGTCGCATTATTTACGTGGGTGGACAGCTGTATGGTTTAACGTACAAACGACCGTGAAGTTATATTTTTTTTTTAAATCGAGTAGCAGTCACAGTTCTTGGTGCTTAAAAACGGCTTAAAGGTTCGATATATAGCAACGATTCTTCCAATTCATTCACATCGAATAATCTAAAGACGCGATATTCAATCTATCGAATAATAACGTTTACAAATCCCGTCGTTTATGTGGCACAACGAGTTGAAAGTTCGATGTGCAATTGCCCGTGAAGCGATAATTTTTTCGATCGATTCACAGACCCATTATTTACGTGGGTGGACGGCTGAATAGTTCGGCGTGCAGGCGACTGTCGAGCGATAATTTTTTCAAATCAAGTCGCAGTCACGTTTCCGTCACGATTGCAGTGTACTAACGGCGTAGATCGCAACGGTAATATCCTGCAACGACTATTCAGAGTCGCAGCGTCGTCCAGCAAATACGCCGACAAAGGTTCGCCCCCTGAAATGGACAGCTACAGGAAGCCCTCTTGACAATCGAACGATATTAGTCTATTTTCCAAGCGACGCGGAATAAGTAAAAAACACATCAACGATCGCACTCGTCCGACTCGTCGACCAAACACAATTCCATTTTCAACGAAACTCGCGACATCCAGCTCGATCCTTCTTTGTAATTAACCGTGAACTAACCCAACTTCGCGCG